GAGCTACCACAAGATCTTGTATATATTTCCCTGTGCTATACAGTATAATCTTGTTTATCTATTCTACATATGCCTATCAATATCTACAAATTTTGAACTCTCAGTCTGTCCCTTCCCACCTCCCCCACCTTGGCAACCACAAGTTTGTATTCTATGTCTATGAGTCTGTTGCTGTTATGTATTTATTTATTTTTATTTTTTTAGATTCCACATATGAGTGATCTCATATGGTATTTTTCTTTCTCTTTCTCGCTTACTTTACTTAGAATGATTCTCCGGAAACATCCATGTTGCTGCAAACAGCATTATGTTGTCGATTTTTATGGCTGAATAGTATTCCATTGTATAAATATACCACATCTTCTTCATCCAGTCATCTGTTGATGGACATTTAGGCTGTTTCCATGTCTTGGCTATTGTAAATAGTGCTGCTATGAACATTGGGGTGCAGGTGTCTTTTTGAAGTAGCATTCTTTCTGGATATATGCCCAGGAGTGGGATTACTGGGTCATATGGTAATAGACTTACTGTATTTTTTTATCAAGAAAACTAGGTAGTGAATGCTGCCCAGTTTCTTCAGCTTTGTAATGTGACTAACCTCAACGAGAGTTGAAAGCAGACTGGTCTGAACATGTAGAGAGAAAGCCACACAAATTGCTTCTACCTTCTGCACAGATGCCCATTCTTTACCCTAGTCCCTTACTGCCATGGACACAGCTCAGAGAAGTCACTCTCTTTTATAAATGCGTTATCAGTAAACTGTCTGAATCCTAGGTCCTTGACCTGTTAACAGGCTTAGCCCTTGGCTTCCTTTCTGGAAAATTCCAGAACTATATAAAAATCATTTCTAAAATCCCGATAGACACGTTTTGCCAAGAGTGTCAGTTATCTCCTGACAGTTTGGCATTAACCTTTAAATATTAGGTTGTGTAATCATACAGCCATTCAGGGAAAATAAGGTGGTGGGTGGCTGGCATTTTAAAAGTGACATGAACTTGGGTTCCTGGGAATGTTAATCATTATTCTACTCAAAATGCTGATATTCCTTAATAGTGAAATGCTAAGTAAGTAAAAACAAGTATTTTATGAATAACTTAGAGGTGAGTAAAATGTGACTTTTATCGGTTTACTTAGCATATTTTTATCTGAACAATATCTAAAGGATATTTTATATTTCCAAGCTTTGAAAGAAAGTAATGAAGGAACCTTCTTGTGAGTTCCCGCCAGTCTACTAGCCTGACCAGCACATCTCAGAAATAGATCATTATTTTTGTCACTGTATCCTGCCTTCTCATTTGCCTTCCTTGCCCTTGACTTTGCAGCAGAGAGGAGAAAGAAACTCATAGCCTCTACCATAAATACACATGGTAACAGCAGTCAAGTAATTTTATATTTTTTGTGGGCAAGTCATTCATTCGTGATGATGGAATGGCTTATTTTTAATGCACTGTTTTTCTTTCAACTAAACTTAAATTCCTTTTTTCCATCTGATTTAGTGTCTGGACCATTCCAGGGCATAAATATAGCACAGCTTCTTCATTTTACCAACTTGGTAGAAGTTTTAAAGGTTTCATTCAGTTTACTTCTAGCTTTTCGTATGAAATGGCCTATAAGAACTCTTTAATTTACAGTATAATGTGTAATTAATGACAGACCCAGTGTATCTGCATGTAGGTTGTACCAGGCGTCATGGGAAAGAGGAGGTTTGGAACATTAATTTCTAATCTCATTTTAACATGACTGTTTCGAAAGGAGACTCTTCTTTGGAAAGTAGGTAAAATAGCATGGACTAAATCCCAAACATCACAAGATGGAAGCAACGTAGATTTATTGCACCCACATAAAGGTTAGAAAAGATATCTTCAGTTTTCTGGAAGGGACATTCATGTGCATAACTTATAATTTTAAGTGATTAATTAAGAGTAATTGCTGTAGATGAGTGTCATTCATAGCAAATTAGTCTGTTTGATGGGGAATCCTACTTCTACAGATTTTTGTATTGCAAAATTAGTTTATGACTTCCTGTGTTAAACTCATTTAATCCTCTCCCTTTCTCAATTATTTATTTTCCTTGCAAATTTATTTAGTTTTGTTTAATGTCTGGGATATCTTTATCTGTAGTAATACAGTATATTCATTTCACTACTTCTGGGTACCCCAAGGTGAGTAGAAACATAAGTCAGAGGAGCAGCTGGGTGGGGAGAAGACCTTAGAAAACGTTAATAAATGCTAGTAGCAGCCTATTGTATAATGGCTTATAATTCATTTAACCAGTTTCCTATTGATAAATATTTAGATTATATCCATTTTTATTTAAAATGTTTATTTAATTTTTATATTAAAAAGCATAAACATATTTCTACATACCAGGTACACAGTCTTATTTTTAGTAAACTTTTTAAAAATAGTAACATATATACAAAAAAATGCACAAATCATTTTTGTAGCTCAGTGATAAATAGAACAGTAAATAGCACCCTAGAAACCCCCCTCAAACCCTATTCCAATTCACAGGTGGTAATTACTATCCTAATTTCTATCACCATAGATTTATTCACTTAGCCTGTTTGAAATGTGTGTAAATGGAATCATGTTGTGTGTGCTCTTTGGTATCTGGTTTCTTTCACTGACTAAAATATCTGTGAGACCTATCCATGTACATGTAGCAATTCATTTTTTATTGCTGTGTAATATTCTGTTGGGTGACCTTACTATGATTTATCCTTTTTATTGTTGATGAACCTTTGGGTTGTAAATTAATTTTTGAATATTACGAATAGCGCTGTTTGTGCTGTTCTTAAACATGTGTTTTGGTGAACATAGCCATCCGTATCTCCCGGGAGTAGTGCTGATGGGCACAGAACATACATGTGTGCAGCTTTACCACACCAGTAGTTTCCAAAGTGGTTGAAACCAAATCACAGTCCCACCAGCAGTGTCTGTTTTTTGTTTGTCTGTTTTTTTAAATAACTTCAAGAAGTGAAATTTGAGTAAAAGAGCAAATTCATTTTGAGTTTTCGAATACAGTGCTTAATTTGTCCTAAGGAATACTAATTTACACTCCACTGAATACTAAGTTTTATCTATCTCTTTCATCTTTATCAATTAATAGTGGAAAACATCTCAGTTTTAAACTACTTTAATGAATTTATAGCTTAATTTTGCTCATTTCAGTTTTCTTAATTTCAGTGTTCTGACCTTTTCTTCCTAGTTTGTCCTTTTTTCTAACTTCTTTTTTTCCTATTTTTTTTTAACAATATAGAAATTTTAAATGTCTGTCTGTGTGCTTCATCTGCTAATGTGTCCCTCTGTGGTTTCTGGCTTTGGTGTCATTCACGAGAAAGCCTTCTTATCTACTTGTTTTCTTTGAGAACTTAATTGTATTTAATTTTGCTTATTGTAACTATGTTTAGCTTCTTTTTCTTTCACTAATACAAAGGAAGTTTTTTGGTTGTTTTTGTTTTAAAATAATTTAAACTTGTACCTTTAATTTATTACATTAGTGTTAGCTTTGGAATATTTTGCAGGGGGACGTCAGAGGGTGACTGGTCAGGAAGAATTTAGTACACCAGAGCATACATGCATGCGTCACTTGGCCATAAGAAATAAAGCCAGTTTTCCAAGGTGGATACTATTTGAATCCTTTCAATGAACATGTTATTAAAGTAGTTAGTTTTCATTTAGAAAAGAATGAGCTCAAATAGACTAAATGATCTTAACACTCTGGTGGATACTGCTCATGGCTCTTGAGCAAGAACTTTGCCAAAAATACACGTGGCCTCTGTCTGCTCTGTGGCCTACAGGACAGAGGATTGGAGAGCCAAATACTTAATTTTGAGCCTTTTTTAAAAAAATACTTTATTTAAGAGATCATTTAAATTTTTCTTTGGCTTTTTTCTCTTTTGTATAATAGTACATATAATTTAATTTACACTACTGTGGGGGAAAAATGAGACCAGTCTATTGTATTTGGTTGTTGTTTTTATTAAATGTTACAGTGGGATTTGAAAGCTCCCCAAAGCCCCCACCACCTAAAATTTCTATCAGTGGAGTCATTATTGGGTTAGACTACAAAGGAAAGACATAAAACAGATGGTAAGCCAGCAGCTTTCTCTTCTAGATGTGGTTTGGTTTGGTTTGGTTTCTATAATTGAATGTTAGTACTTTAAAGGGTTGGGTCTCAGGACAGGTATGTTTTTGAGGAAGAGAGAACAGAAGTGTTACTGCTCTATGATTACAGCCCCAGAGCACGTAAGAATCTAGACATCAGTCTAGGAGGGTAGAGGTTTGGGAGGGAGGAAAAGAGTAGTTGAAAATAAATACTATAAACAATATTTAAAAAAAATTTTTTTTTGTTTGCTGAACTTTTGCATTTGGCAGTACTACTTAGAGTAAGGTTGTATCACTAGTTATTTTGTATTTCTAAGCCAGGGAGAAAACTATGGGAACTTCCTTAACAAATCTATAATTTTAGGAGCCCAGCATTTCATTGATTTCCTGAGTGCTTAAATTTGACTAAAGGGAATGTGGATTTACTTTAAGGGATCATTGGGGTTAGGTTGACGGGGAGAGAGTACAGAGGGGGCAAAAACTAAAATTAAGTGCCTATTTTTCATTTATGTATGTACAGAATGCAGTCTTCACATGTTTTACATAATTAACCTGTTTAATCCTCACAGAAATTTATAAACTAGTGTTTTCCTGATTTGTGAAGGAGAACAAAGGCCCAGGGAGTAAGTTTACATTATTTCATCTAGGCTCAAACCCAGTAAAGGGCAGTTCTGGGTTTTGAATACGAGTCTCTCAACTAAAGCTCTTTCATATTCTTTGCACGAGAGTATATATTGCCTTCTAAATTACCAGAATTATTATGCATATTTTATATTTTATTGGTTTCATATAAAATGTTGGTGACACTTTAAATGGCATGTCTTGGGGATGCCAGCTTTAGTTCTTCTGGGTATATAAAGCCTGTGTAATTTCCTTTACCTCCATCTTAGCATTGAGAGTAAGCATGAGGTTACGATCCTGGGAGGACTCAATGAATTTGTAGTGAAATTTTATGGACCACAAGGAAGTAAGTATATGTGTTGGTATGTGTTTTTCTATTACAGTCTTTTACTCTGCTCCTTAATAGGCAATGAGAATATCAAAGCAGATGGTGATATGTGTAGTTTTTGAAAAATAAATTTAATTAACTCTAGAACCAGTGAGGGAATCTTGCTCTCATCATAATTACCTTACATGTTTTTCTCTTTTATCTCTGTGTGACAATATTAAACATGAATTGTAAATTCTAGGTTTTGTTATGGATGGTTTTAGGGAAATGTTTTTTGTTGTTATTTTGGCAGGGTATGGAATAGATTGAGATAGTAGGCTATTACTTACCAAATAAGTTAATAGTGTTTAATCTTTTAAGGAATCACACAATACTTTTATAAAGAATCATGTAAATTTGGGGGAGAAAATGAATCTTTGCAAACTCTAGATTTTTTAAAGAAAAGTTTTGTGATTGAACATAGAGTACCTACTAGTTACAAGAATTCCTGACTCTTGAAGGAATTAATTTGCAGGGTTCTCAAAAGAGATTAGAGTTTTAGCGTAACACTCAGATTCATTTTCTAATTTGAAGACATAGTTTTAATGTTCAACATTTTTACTTTTATTTCAGCACCATATGAAGGTGGAGTTTGGAAAGTTAGAGTGGATCTTCCTGATAAATACCCTTTCAAATCTCCATCTATAGGTATGTAACTGCCCAGTTCTCTCCTTAAAGAATTTTGAAATCAGAGAGAAAAAGAAAAAAACACATATGTTTTATGGGAGATAATTAATTGCAGAAATATTTAGTTACTTAACCGAATTTTTCCTTTTTTTCCTTTAATTAGTAACTTTGGGCGGGGGGACTTCCATAGTGTGATAGAAGATGTTTAAATCTCCCCTTTGCATGATTGTAATAACTACAACTCTATAGATTTTTCTGTCTTTCAGAGTCAGATTAAACAGTTTTAAGACCCACTGTCCATTCAGGCTATTAGTAAAATAATAAACATCTTAACTCTCATTTTAAATGCCAGATAGTTGGAATTAATATTATATAGTGTCTATTCTAATTCTTTCATTTAAAAATCCTCTATCATGCTTTGCTTTTTTATTCACTCCATCTCTGGGTACCCCTTTTCATCCTCTTCACTTCCGTCTTTTTAGCCTTCTAAACAGTTAAAGAAGGTAGAGTAGAAACCTCAGTGAGATTGTTTAAAGGGTCCTTTTTCCTCACCTTCATCTTCCTTCTGCCCTAATTGGTGATATTGACCTGTCACCCCCATTAAGGCTTTTAGCGACAATTTAGGTATTTTAGCAGATGCTACAGAGGTATATTTGGTTGAAGGTTGATACCTTTGTGGAATGGTAGTAACTTAGCTAACTTAAATCAACTTTTAAAAGTTTCATCTGTAGATGATTTTAAAATATTATAAAATACTGACCAATTTTAAGAAGGAAGAAGAAAATAAAATGAATATTTTATGAGTGTTCTCTGCCGCACTGAACCTCATGTTCAGAATTGTCAAGAGTTCAGACATCTTGCTACTGCTGTGGGCTTGCCTTCAGAACTAATGCCAGAACTCTTGGAGTTTAGACTACCCCCTACCCACCCAAAAAAGGTTTGTTTTTTTTTAAAAGAAGTGGATTAAAGACATTCTTAGCTTTATGTTTTGATTCTAGGCCTTCACATTTCTGTCTAGGATAAATAATGTGGAAAAGTTAGAACAGACTGATTTCCAATCAGATGCCCCAGCCTGTCTGCCTGACATCTATATATGTTTGAGAGTTTTATGCTATAAAAATATTACAGAGCATCTATAATTCCTTCTTAGGCTGGGAACTCTTAGTGCTCATTTTAAGAGTAGACACAACATTGTAAACTGACTATAACTCAGTTAAAAAAAAATGGGGAAAAAAAAAAGAATGAACTAGGAATTTCCTCTTAAGTTCCCTTAGGTGAGTTTTCTAAACTCAGTAATTGAGAAGATACTTTATAGATAACTGAATTGAAGATCTCCCCATTGCTACAAGAATCTCCAAGTTTTAGAATTATCAAATGGTGATACAGGAAGAGTGCTGTGAGGTGCTGAGTCTTTGAGACAATCCCTGAGTGTATCTGACTTAATACCTTAGTACAGTTGGCACAGCAGCCCTTTCTCAGTTCCATTCCAGTGTGGTGGAATGTAGGTTCCACTCAGTTTGTGAAGGCTTTTGTGTCATGTCGTGGTTCCCTGTCCCCTGTTTATCTTTCAACTTTAGGGTGTTTCTTTATGTACAGGCATTTTAAACTTGTGTGTAGTTGAGTGGTACGATCTTTAAACCTTTACAAACAGAATGTCCAAACCATATAAATTCATTCAATAATATTTCATAAATACCTATTTACTTAGACTAAAAATTGGCTTGCTAGCTCTAGTTTTGTTACCCTTGATTCTTGGTCAGAAAGGAAATAGAGCCTGTTGAAATTAACAGTGAACCTGTGGACATGCAATTACTATCCTGTAGAAATGTAGTTATTTCTCAAATCTTGTCTTAACATATATTTCCAGGTAATACAATTTTACTTTGACTGTTATGATGAAACAAATATCTAAATTTCAGACATTGTTTATTAACTAATGACGTAACTGAAACCTATGTACTTTCTTCAATTAATGATGTAATATGAACTTGGTTAGGACAAATGACTAGGCTCATTTAACTTCTTCATAATTTCTCCTTTGCCTTTTTGTACTTTAGAACTTGGCAATACCTGCAAGTGTGTACTATCTTCTCTTAGGGAAGTAGATCTAGTTGAAATATTTGTACAAGCTGTCCTTGTTTCCTCCAAAGGAAGATTGCATAAGAGAGTTCTATCGGTTGTGTGGGGTGACCCATTTTCAGGTCATCAACAATGTAATTACTGTTGAAATGTGCTTTAAACATTTCGAGAGGTAGTAGCTCACTTAGAATAGGCAAGGATTCCTTTTTGAATTGTATAGGTAGTTGCAGAATTGTATGGAAGTCCAAGGAGATAAGATAAAGCCAACCTCTTCTTTTTAAACCCTGCCTCTATAGTATCTAGGCAGGCATACCCTTCTTTCTTAAGTATTAAGATGTGTGGATTTAGATTAAGCATCTTAATACTTACGTCTTGGAATTTTAAAACATATATATACTTTTCTGTTTAATATTAATATATTTTTTAAATGTATAAATGCTCCATATCCGTAGTAGGAATGTAAGGAAGTCCAGGTGAGTGAAAATAAAGAAAAATTAAAATGTTTCATAAGCCTATCCCTCAGTGGATATCATTTACATAAAGTTTATGAAAATGTACTTTAAAACATTTTTCTATGTATATTTAAGTATATATTCAATACAATTTGACATGGTCATCTTTAGGATGTACTCCAGATAGTTTCAGAGAGTTTTCAGTAGTTACATGACTGCTTGAAGTTTAACTTAAAATGCTTTTTTAAAAACAATTTACATCTTTAAATAAGTATTTTTTTCTCCCCAAAATAGTAATAAAGCTACCTCAGCTCCTCTTTGAAAAGAGAGAAGGAATATAAACAGACTCTCAGGAAAGTTATGAACTTACTCTTAAAATGCTGTCATTGTTCCAAACATCTTAAGCTCATCTTTTGAGATTTTTACATTCTCTTTGTATATCATGAGTGATGGCAAATCTTGATGCTTTAAAGCTGGATATAAATTTCTGAAATGGTTTAATCATTTAATTATAGAGAATAAGATGAATTGAAAAACCAAGTAACACCAATTGGAGTGTAATATTTGAATCTTTAAGTTCTAATTTATTTGGAAGTTCAGAGTTTTATATTTTTCATTCAGAAACATTTCTCGAATGCTCGCACTGCTGCTGGGTGTGTCACCAGCTTTGTAGGTAGGAGAGTGTGATTGGTCAGTGGACTGGGTATCAGGAAAGAGTGGTTCTGGCCTCAGTTCTCCTTGGCTATTAGAATGATACATATCTGAACTGTTGTTTCCTCTTCTAGAAATTGAGATACTGGAATTAAATGAACTCTGCATGTTTGATATTGACCTGTGTATTAAATACTCAGGATATATAATTAGGAAGGATGTGCAGTGCCTTCACTAGTTAGGAGAAAAAGTCATATATAAAATACTGCATTTGCTTTAAAAGTGACAGCTTTTCATGGCCTTTGGTGGAGGGGTGGGTAGTGGTGTGAGTCAGCACCTCTCAATTGAGGAAGAGAGAGTATATAGAGGAGACAGGCTTTTACAAGAAAGATTGTGTTTCGTGTATTCAGAGTAATCTTTACAAAGATTCCAAGATGTGATGGTGCACATGGGACTTTAGAAATACTCTTTCAGAACCTTGAGTGATGCCCAGCCCGTGAAGTGTTGTTCTGTGCAAAGAAGTGGCTACAGAGACTACCTATTCCATGCCTCAGAATCGCAATTTTCAGCCACTTACACGTGTGTTCATCTCCTAAGAAAAAGCTTTTACCCATCAAAGGAAACAGACCTGCAGTTGCTGTTCAGGGGAAATAAAGATGAGCGATTTCATACATAAATAGGGTTATGTAGAGCAATTTTTTATAAAAATTAAAAATAGCCAATAAGCATAGGATACGAAATGGTTTTATGTCTGATCCAAAGAATGCAAAATAAAAACTGAGGGACTGTATGACTTATCAAATTGACAGGTTAAATATTGTTAGCAAAGGTATTATGATATGGCTAACCTATGAGTGACTTTACTTAAATTAAGGGAGTATTCAAAGATGTGCACTAAGGTTAAATTGCAGTGTTATTTTTAAAACTTAAAACTTGGAAGCAACCTAAATGACCCAGTTGATAATAAAGTAGTTAAATTATGGTACATTTTAATGGACAGAATGTTTCACAGCCGTTACTCATGTTTTAACACCAGCTTTAAAGGAACACACAGGAAAATGTCTAACATTATACAGTATATTTAAATACTATAATAAATAATATCTATAATAGTGTTTTTTCCATGCAGATTCCAAGTATGAATGCCAAATTTTGGACATAATTATCCATGGCTGTTAAGGGAATTAAAGATATTTTTTCTGTAGCTTCCAAATATTCTACAATAAGTTCCCTTTTTTTATAAAAGTAAATATTTAAAAACATATGGCAAGTGTGTATCTTTTGAATGTGCTGTTTGCATCTTTGTCTGAGTCTCAGCTTTTCCTATCTTTTGTTCTAGAAAGCCACCAGGCTATCCCTGACCAGAATTCTCACCTGGTAACTTGCTAAGACCCCATGCTGGCCCCCATGTTTTCTACTACCCTCCTTTATTTTTTCCTTTCAGTTTTAATTATATGTGCATGTAAGTGTACATACTGTTTCCTTTGTCTCTCTGCTTACAGTTTAGTTTACTCCTTCGTGGCTATTGTCTTTACACCTTTACATATAGCTATTCTCCACTCCTTTTCTTCCTTCCCCTTTTCCCTTCTGGGCTGTTAGCTCAAGCATTTCTTAACTGCGTCTTTTTTCAGTCTGATTCTCCACTTGTATTCCCCTTCTCTCCTTTTTTCTCTTCATGTGAACCAAAAAGACCCCTGTTCATAGATAATAATAACAGCAATACTTTTGATAAATCTAAACTGGGGGGGCAGGGGGAATTACATCTTCTAGTAAGGTACAGACCTAAAATACTAGATTTCAGGCTTTCAGCCTCTAAAGGTCTTGAAAGTACCTTGAAGT